ATCTATAAATATAGACAAATCTATAAATATAGACAAATCTATAAATATAGACAATAGACAAATGCCATTTGTAAAAATAAACGTTATAAATTGATAAATATATTATACATTTAAATATGAATGTAACATATAGAGACCTAATTGCGGGAGAATAAATTCTAAAAACTTCAGAGACAACATTGTCAAGGTACTTCATATTTTGAATTGATTCATATTTCAGTTCACCCTAAAATTATAAAATTAGAGTTATCAACAATAAACATACTAGCAAACAGACATCTTTATTAGAAAGTGAGTCGAAGATAAACATTTTCAAATATTTTTCAATTTACTTTATTTAAAATGTAATTAGAAAAATCTTAATTATCTTTATTAGTTCTCTATAGATTATATTCTCACTTGCAAATAATTTGGTCATGGAAAAAGACAAACATTAGTAATTACAGTTGGTCTATTAAATAAGTCGAGCGTCGACAGAATACTCTGATTCTCACTTTTGGTTAAGGGAAAAACTTAAAATTCTAATTCTAGCATTCGTTAATCTAAATTTAGAACTAAAATGACGAATGTGAATAATAAATGTGAGAACGCGCTTCGTTTTGATAGATAATAAATTAAGTAAGAGAATTTAGATAAAGAAAAGATTTAACAAAGCTTTATTTATATATATATATATATATATATGATAAATAAATAAATACAAGAAAACACTAAGAAAGTTAAGAAAAACAATAAGTATCAAACATAATAAGAAAAAACATAAGTAAATCATTCTTGAAAAATAACAGTCCATGTAAGTTTTTATGATTTTGCTACTCGCTTTATGGTCCCCCCCTTTTTAATGTTTTTTCTTTTTATTTTATGATCTGTTTTTACATGTTATTTTTACTTTTTATGATCTTTTTTTATGTTGTTATTTCATAAAAAAATTTTTTTTGAGTGCTCCTCACACTATTGTATTAATAAATTTTGCTTTGGCTTTATTGATACAATATCAGAAAGCACTCTGTTTTGCGGATATAATCGTGTGGGCTGAAGAAAAGATTATATCTTTTTTTTTTCCGGTTTTTTTATTAACAATTCATTTTTTTTTCTTTCTTTTTTTTTTTAAATAAAATGTTGTTGTTTTTTTTTTTTACTTATAATTTCCCACCCCCTTTTTTTCATATGTCTATTATTTTTCTTTGTTTTATTCTTCATTTTGAACTTATATATATATATATATAGAAGATATATCAACTTTGCTTTGGACAGAACTGGTTTTAAGTTTCTAAGTATGTGCAAAAACGTTTTGTTTCGCTTATATACTCGTAGTTCCAGATACAAGGCAAAAAGTGAATTTAACATTAATTGTTTCAAACTCCTCGACCGCTTTCATGATTTTTCATGATTACCCCCTCTATATTTTCAGGGTCTAGAATTTAAACACGTCGAAAAAAAGGGCATATTTATTTAGTGAAAATGTGTTTTAGTCTTTGATTTTGTACATTAAGATATTATCTGCTCAAATTAATCAGCTTATTTAAGGAAAGTCCTTTAATTAGAATGCATCTTAATATGTGAAAATCCGATCACTAAAGTTATTGCTAAAGGTGTTTTTCGCAATTTTACAAACTAATTATGTAAAATAAATTAAAAAAGCTTATTTTTTTAAATATTACAACGCTTTGTTAAGTATTGTATCACATTTTAAGTTATTAGCAATGATTCTATTTTTAAACTGATGCTTCTTGTTTATTTTTACCAAAACAGGTCCACCAGGTATAGCGGCCCTGATGTGCTCTTGTATAATCGGAGGTTATTTAATATGGAAGTTCAAGCCTACAGCCAAATTTCTGTCTGGGGGTCTTGTGACACTGGAATTGATTTCAACTATTGGTTACCTCATACTCATGATTCCGGGCTGCGAAAAGATCGAAATGACACATTTTGGATTTGGTGAGGAAGGGTAAGATAGAAAGTTGTTTTTCGAACCTCTGTCTCCAAGGAAAATGAAAAAAAGCCATAGTTTAAGCTCTTTAAAATTCAAACAGTGCGATGATTTTGAACTATATATATATAATCTTGCCATGAAGAAAATTATCTGGGCTTTAGAACAGGCAAATAAATTAAATATTTTAAAGGTTATTAAACTTTTTTTTTAAAAAATCGCCAATTTGGCGACATTTTTTTACCTAGATCAGTGGTTCCTGAACTTTTTTGTCTGGTAGACCCCTTGTCATGTTTTTCGGTTCTGGGTCGACCCCCTGCTTACCTGATATTGTTTTTTCTTTGTAAATTCATCAACTTCTAATGTATTTTTGACAGCTGGTATAGAGCTACTCACTGTGAAAGATTTAAATTTCTAACTGTAGTGAAGTGTAGTGCGAAAAACTTAAGAAAAAAACACATGTTAATTTTATACATTTTTTAATTAAATTCAAACTAGTTTAATTACTAATTTAATTTAATTAATATGTAAATGGAATAAAATAGCGCACTATAAAACCCGTACTCCGTTACTTATATTATAATTGCGGAAATAACTTTGTATACAAAACCGAAGTAGTGTATTGTCGGTTTGCTTATTAAGTTTTCACGTAAAAACTGAGAAACAAATCTCCCGTATCTTGTGCGCAGATAAAGTTGGAGGTCTAGCTACCTAAAGAGTTGACACACTTGCTAGGCTACAATTTATCGCTGAAAAATACCTTTCTGTTGCAAAACAGAACCTTACACGCAGAGAAAATATAAACGTATCCAGGCGGAGCTACAGGCAACTGCTAGTTTGTAATAATTCAGTTTCGTATATCAGAAAATAATCCTAACAACTTAAATTTTAATAAAATTTTTACTTCATAGCTACTTTTATAAATTATGTAGAATGTAGATAGATACATGTCTTTATATTATAAGGTAGTATAATGTAAAGTAAGTAGGTACTATCAATGTTAATTGATTATTCCATTCATGAAGTGCCTAAATAGAAAGTCATGATCTGCTTATATGAGATCCACTATCCTTGACCCCCATTTTCATTTAATGGACCCCCAATTTTTTTTCACTTGACATGGACCCCTTGTAAGGTTGTCGTCGACCCCTGGGGGTCGATGTAGACCACTTTGGGAATCACTGACCTAGATGAATATTATCGAAATCACTGCCTTATTCTCAATTTTTGTAGTGCAGCATTGGAGTAAGTTCTCAAATATTAAAAAATTAGACCACAACGCTTTTCCTTTTCACAAAACTGTGGTTTTTCTCCACATTGAGGTTTTTCTCCACTTTCAAAATAAGCGTAGACACAGCGCTGGCTTTAGATATAGGCTAAAATTGACCTAACAGTCATGAGTAACTTTTTACGCACTCACAGCAGTTATAAAAATAGTATTTTATTCACAAAAAAGCATCATTTCATATTACGACGGAGCCTTCAAAAAACAGCCTTTGCATAATTCTTCCAAAAAGAATCTGTTCATCAATTTTAATTGTAACCTTCTTACAAAAATATCGCACTTTTTGAAACTATTTTTTCCCTTTATAATTTTACCTCGTGCTTAGGGACATGGGAATTAAATTTCTTCATCTTTAGTGATCTTTCCTCTTTTTTGTTCTGCATTGGTCAATGCTAGCTTACCAGGCTCACAGTGTGCAAAACATCTTAACATCCTGATTTAATGATCGTATTTTCGCGTAGTATGACTTAACCGTTTGTATGCTAATGTTCCAAAAATGAAACATGAACATTAAGTTCCCGTTTCCATAATTATTTGATTTTAAATGAATTTTAGAAGTTTGATATCATTTGTAAGGCTTTCATCTTGCTTATAATATAATTTACCTAATTTCAATACGATTACAATACTTACAAGCTCTTAAATATATAATATAACCTGGAATCAGATGCAAAATTTTATTTTAAAGTCATAATATTAGTTTAAAAACTATTGTTCCATTTAGAAACAATGGCGTTTCAAGATTTCTGTATTTAGATTTCAAGTAATGCATTTAACTCAATTGATATTATGACACTTATTCAAGATAAATAATGATGTTTGAAGATAAAAAAGGCTTAATGTTTGTGTTTTGATTCAACTTCTTTGGACATGAATTCGCAGATGGCTGATAACAGAATACTTAGAAAGTAGGAAGATCTGTACTCTTCATACTCAGTNAACAATGGCGTTTCAAGATTTCTGTTTTTAGATTTCAAGTAATGTGACACTTATTCAAGATAAATAATGATGTTTGAAGATAAAAAAGGCTTTATGTTTGTGTTTTGATTCAACTTCTTTGGACATGAATTCGCAGATGGCTGATAACAGAATACTTAGAAAGTAGGAAGATCTGTACTCTTCATACTCAGTGTCTCTCCCTTTTGTTGAAATTCGAACTATTGAAAAGTAATTCTTTCTGATAAGGGGGAAGTTTCAGGGAGCATTTTTGAGCTATTGACAATGAATAGAATTCAAATTTAACATCAAAGGGGATTCTGTCGTTTTGTTTCCAGCAATGGTATTGTATAGATTATGGCTATTGATATTTTTTCCTTTTTGATTCTTGGGATTTATTTTACTTTCGTGATAAATTTGTAGTTACAGAGGGAATTAAGGAAAAGTGAATATTTTATTTGTTTTATTGACAAATTCTGATGCTCCATGTCTAATAGATGCATAACAGTACAAAAAACAATGGCCTTGTTAGAAGATTTTCTGATGGAATTTGGAGATTCAGATTTGGGGGATATAGATATTTGTGAGCTAGGGCCTGATGAACCAGGAGTTTTAATCTTTGCAGAAAACATCAATAAAAACAACTAAAAATCTGTTCCATGTCTGAAGAATATTGTTTTTAACGGTAATATTGGAGAAGAGGAAATCTAGTCGTTGAGTGAAGCGCAAATAAAAATCGAAAGCCCAATTCTAAAATCAAATAACAAAGTTAAATTTCATGAGCCAACTCAATTGAAAAAGCTGGTAGCATATTTGTACAAATGTCACGAGCACGCTTGACGTATTTTAAAATATATTCCAGGAGAATATTTCGTCAATATGTATATAATCAAAAAAATAAAAAATGCTTTTGTTTCAGGGGGATTTGGATTCTTGATCCTTAAAAAACAGGTGGGGGAGTAGCCACAATCTTGATAATAGGGTCACCAAAGTTTAATCAAGATAGCAGTTGAAAATTTAGAGCCCCTTAATGTTAGTTTTACTTTTTTCATATTTCATCATTGAGAGAAGTTGCGTATTTTTAAATTGTGTTTTTATTTTTTAATCATGCTTAAATTGCGCTTTCCCTCGATTTTAAGAGTCAAAAGTTTGAATTTCTCAACAAAAAAAAGAGCTTATTTTTTCAAAGAAAGTGCGTTTTTGCATGTGATTGACTTTATGTTTATTATTGCGTAACATTATGTTTTTGCATTTGATTAATTAATTTCATTGCATTATCGATATATTGTATATTAATTATAGCCCTAAAAACATTAACTATTGAATCACAGTACGTGCTCAATTATTCGATCAAAATGTGCTCACTTTTTTTTTGTCTACAGTATTGTTTTCATTTGGCGAGGTATTGCTCTAAATGACGTTTAACTGGACAGATACATTTTTACTTCAAATTAACAACATTATGAGTAAAACATTTTCGTTTTCTCATGTTTTCCTTCCCGCAGAACAGATAAGTAAAAAGTAGACTGTTATGACCAACCAACCTCGCGCAAAAACTCGTGAACAGATGAACATTGAGATTACTTTTTTCCTCTTTGGCATCAACTCTTACAAATCACTTTAACAATATATATATGTAGGTTCAAATTGAAGACTTGAAGACAAAATAAAGAAAAATTACAGACATATGAAAAAAAAGGGGGGGGAATAATGAAAATAACAAACAACTGGAAAAAAAAGGATAAAATTTTTTTTTTGAAAATCCGGAAATTAAAAGATATAATCTTTTCATCAGCCCACACGATTACATCCGCAAAAAAGAGCACTTTCTGATATTGTATCAATATAGCCAAAGCAAAATATATTAATACAATAGTGTGAGGAGCACTCAAAAATTTTTTTACAAAAATTACAACAAATGAAATAGAACACAAAAAGTAAAAATAACACGTAAAAACAGAAAATTAAATAAAATAAAAAGAAAAAACAGAATAAAACATAGATGAAGAATAAGTTTCATCTATAAAGCGAGTAAAAAAAATTTTTGAGTGCTCCTCACACTATTGTAATAATATATTTTGCTTTGGCTATATTGATACAATATCAGAAAGTGCTCTTTTTTGCGGATGTAATCGTGTGGGCTGATGAAAAGATTATATCTTTTAATTTCCGGATTTTCAAAAAAATTTTTTATCCTTTTCTTTCCAGTTGTTTGTTATTTTTATTATTCCCCCCCCTTTTTTTTCATGTATCTGTAATTTTCCTTTGTTTTATCTTCAATTTGAACCTATCTAATGAGTTCTGTTTACTTGCAGCTTATGGGCAATAAATGATACTTATTTTTCCCTTCTTAATTTTCTTCGTGCTTTTTGTATTTAGTTATTTTGTTATATATATGTAACACAAAAAGGATAAAATAAAAAAGGGGAAAACGAAGAAGAAAATTATAAGATAGAATTAATTCAGGAAATGGGATCCAAAGAAAAAGCATTAAGTGCTTGCTAACTAACATTTATTTCTCCTGATAGTTTGATTCTGGATGATGTATGCAACCTGAATTGCAGTTGTTCAACTGTCTCCTTCACACCCGTCTGCGGGTCAGATGGCAAATCTTATTTTTCTCCATGTTACGCAGGATGTAGCTCCCAGAAAGATCAGGTAATCATTATAACGACGTTATTTTAATGACAGCAAGAGCTTTCTTACTCCAATAGAGAGATTATTATTTCTTTTAATGCGACCCCGCACTAAATATAAAACACCTTTGGAAGAATTCTTATCCCAAGTCGTATGCGGACGTAATTTATAATTATGATCCCATAATAATCAAATATCATAATTAGCAAAACTTTCTTCTTAAAGTATAAATCACATTTACCTATGATACCTTTTTTTGCTTGAAAATTATAGTCACTTCTTTCTCTGAATACAGAGTGTATTCGCTTTTGAAAAAGTGCATTAGGGAATATAAAATGGATGCCATTCTTTATTTATTTAATTTTTTTTTGTAAAATTTTGAAATAAACTACAGAAGGGGATCTTTCTGTAGTTTCGAGTTAAAACCTGAGGTCTTCGCAGTTATGTTGATGTTTGTTAATTACCGTAGAACGCCTCTTCGAAACATTATTTTAATGCCTTCTTCCCTATTATTTTCAAGGTTATTATTACGTATATATTAATGTACACAAAAATTGCATTATTACCAATTTTTTATGTAAGTTACCAAAAGAAAGCAGTGCTTTGTTAAAATTTTCCAAGTTATTCATTAGTTTAAGATTAATAGTTACGGTATTTTTAGAGTATTCATTTTATAAATATCTAATATTATAACATCCATATTCGCCCGGACTGCGAAGGTCGTTATACCGAATGTCAACAGTGTTAATAAATCTAAAAAAAAAAAAACGATATAAATAACTATATACTCAAAACTGACAAAGAATAGTTTTGATCAACAGAAATACATAATTAACACTGTTTTTCCCCATTTTAACAATCTTTATTTAATTCAAATTTCGTTCAAAGAATTTACTTACCTTTTTCATGTCAAAATGAGTTTCAACATCCGTGACGCACCTTCATGATTGCTTCCCGCCAATTTTACTGTTTGTTCTTTTAAATCAGGGAATTTTTTGTCTCCAGTTAAACATGCATCTGATGACATTTTCTTTTGTTTTTTCGTCTGCTATAGTTTTTAGTCTCACTTGGTTTTCTATTTGTTTTCGTTTTGGATGACTAAATATTTTATTTTATAAAATATATCATTTTTGTTCATCTCCAAGAAATAAGACATGAGCATAAAATAGATGTTTCATTCTATATTTTATTCCGCAATGTGGTACTTATGTGGTTTTATGACGTCATAAATAACGTAATTCTTTTCAACTAACCTCAACGAAACAACCTTAATTATATTGAATCGCTTAGAAAGCAATTTCCTTTCTTCTTTTTTAAAGTGAAAATGAAGGGAGATTGTGTTATAGTAAAAAAATATTTTATTGTATTTCCAATTCTGGTGTAAAATACTCTTCACCATCTTTCTGGCAGAAGCATGATTCCCGGCGTGCATAAAATTTCAGCTCTTTGCTGGCAAAAAGCAGATGATTTTGGAACTCCTCATCTGAATTAAATGTCTTAGAGCCTTAAATAATTATGTAGAGAACGAAAAGACAACTCATTTCTTGTCCCCAGCGATGATGCGCTTCAAAAATGGAGAAGCAAACGTCAACGCGACGGTAACGATTTCCTCTCCATGTGGAATCCATATGTCGAGCGTTGATATTAATCTTTTCAAATAATTATGTACAATCAAATTTGATAAATTCAGTGATCTCACAAGCTTTTATTCGCTTAGTTATAGAAATGCACGAAGATGTATCTGCTTAAATAGGCGAAAGACATCTTTATTGAATTTTTGCAAACCAGTTATAGCACACTGTCCATAGATTTACATCGGAAATTTTTTTTCCTTGCTTGAACAGCTTTTCTACCTTTCCGATCATAAAAAAGTAATACAGTTAACCCAGCTTAAAGGAATACCAATGGGTTCCAACCAATTCTATTCAATGATTCGACTAAAAGGTGAGTGTATTATTCAATCTTAAATTATACATTTGTGTGAAATATTAATTTTTAATGGTATTTAATGTATAGTGTCGTGTTGTGATTAAATAAACTCTATTTTATGATCCATAAACAATTGTAATTAAAATTACCTGTGTTAGTATCCTAAAATATAAACGTCATTTAAAGTTACATAAAAATGAATCAATCCTGATGAAAAATATGGTATAGGTACTGTAATATTATTTTATTCCTTCCGAAATAATCTATAATTGAAAACTGTTTTTATACCCGCCTAATTCTTCCATTTATAAATATTCGATTATCTCTTTCAGTTTCTACGAAGATATTCATGATTTGCGTATCCCTTTTAAATATTTCACAAACTTTTTTTGCCCTCCTTGAAACTTGAGAAATTCAAAATTGATTTTCTATTTCAGTTTAGGATTTCCAGAAATTCATTATTTTCAAAATTGATTGCTTTTTTTTCCTCGATTGATTCAAATCATCCCTTTTCGCTCTCATCTTATAACCAACTCTTGAGTTATTCACTGCAATAAAAAATTATTATTCTACTTAAGACACTCTCTACACTTTTTTGAAACCTTTTTTTTTAATCGAAATTATAATACCGCACCGGTAGGGGACCACAAATCACTCTGTACCATTTTTGAATTCCATAAAATAAAGATATGAAATATATATGATTATAAATGATGTGTGAGTGAAATAAGTCAAAGAAGTCCTTTGTTTATTTCAATGTATAGCTGGAAAAGATTTAATTCCCTTGCTTTTGCTTTCCTCAATGAAATAGATACCCCACCCCCACCCCTAAAAAATTGAAAATTTGTAAACTACAAATAATATTTGGTTACCCTCTTTTACATGGTGGATCCTACTGGACGGGGGCTGGGACATCGAGAGGATCACCCGTGGGGTCATCATAAGGGGAGATAAGCTTTATGAAGAATGAGAATGCCTTATCTTAATAATTTGTTTTTGAGGTACATGACATTTCTTTCCATTTGTATTTGTGGGGTATCTTCTATTTCATTGAGGAAACCAAAAGCTGCTTGTGTGAAGCCTACACCTGTTTAAAACCTGTTAATGAAATGGAAGTCCCAATTCAAATGACCACCTATTGTATTCTTTTCTTAACTGAAAAACGGAAATTCCAATCTAGCAGATGAAGCATTTCTTAAAAATAAAAATTTCTCCTCTTCTTTATGCAATTAAGCGAGAACTAGAAGCAACAAGTATCCGTTTAAGCGAAGAAATTTATCATTAGTTTCATATATAATGATTTGGTTCCGTTAAATTTTATTCGTATAAGAGGGTTATTTGATTATCCGATATGCATTTAAGTGGGGACGATTGTATATATATTGAAAATTCAGCTTTTTACTTTCTTGATTTGAACATTGCACCGCTACTAGGTACTACTGCGTTGAATCAATCGGAATGTTTCGCTAACATGAGTTACTTATCAGCAATCAAAAAAAGTAAAGATCATGTGAATTGGGAAAATATATGTCAAATTTGCTTTGAAAGAATATAAATAAGTCCTCTGTAGAGAAAAAAACTAAACTTAACCAAATGAAAAAATTATTTTAGGATGAACTTGATTAGCATGTGTTTCTTCGAGACCAGAATTAGATTTTTATCAATTAACGATTTATTCGTAGTTATTTGTATCAATATTTTAATGATTTTATCATTTTGTAAAAACTTTTTTTTAATTAATTCGCTTTTATATATTTCATTTCTAAGATTACAAAGATTGCTGAAGTTTAGATTCTTCATTAAAAGCTTCAACTTATTTTTGGATTTTTTTTTAAAATTTCGAAATGGCGTATGAAACATTACAGATAATATAAGTGAGTTAGAAATCTATGAAGTAATTTTATAAAATCTTTCAATTATGTAGTTCATGAGTAAGATATATGAATATCCTGTATCGAGACCTATTCCTGTCAGGAAGTTCTATACTGAAGGTAGGGCAGAGATCATAACAATAGATATGTGTCAAAGGAAAGTGCTTTGTTATTTTTAGATTTGATAAAGAAGAGTGTTTTGTTAGGAAAGACCAATGAATTTCAAAGCTTGTCCATCACCAAACATTTGGCGAATGAATATAGATAGTATTCTTTACTAAACCTTTAAAATTATACTACCACGAAAAATAACTTCTGTAAAATGGAAAATAACACTTAAATAATAAAAGAATTTCTTGTAAAAAATAGATCCTGTAAAATAAAAGAAGAAATATTCAAAACAGTTTAGTTACTATTTTAAACTAATTTAATTTTAAGAAAAAGTACTGTTCACACTGCATAAAATGATGGCAGTCGGAACAAGCAGAAAAACAGACACAGGATTTTTAATGAAAGCAAAATAATTTTTATTTGATCATTTTTTATTGAGTGGCCAGCGAAAAACGACGAACTGCCTTTCTGGTAGGGAAAATCTCGTAAAAAATACGAAAATGTCTCTATTTAGGAAAAAAAGGGAAATCTTAGAAATTGTAATTGGTTTATCAAATAGGTCGCGCGATTCCCACAAAGAGCTAAGGGGAAAAATATCCTACTTCTAATTAATGCATAATTTAGCCAAAAATAGATTAGAGGACAGGATGTGAATTTAAAAGTGTGAGAAAGCATTTCCATTAGAATAATTAATTAGGAGTTGTTGTTTTATAGCAAGGAAATAGCATAAAAAGATTAATCGAAAAGCTTTTATGCACACACACACACACACACAGATATATATATATATATATTATATATANGGGTTATTCCTAATTCCCTCCGGAGTATTGAAGCGTTACAGTAAAAAAAAGAAGACGAATATGAAAAAAAGAAACATATGAAATTATTCCCAAACTATTCAAGTTCTACCTACATACATTACAGGTGTTCTATGTGTGAACTCTTGGTCACAGGGCATACATCAATGCGATACTCCTGTTCCTGCCCGGAGGGAATTATAAATAACCCTGTATATATACCCTAATACACTAAAAATCTTAATTCATCCAGAAAAAATAAGCGATGTCTAAACATACCTGTATACTGCTGAAGATTAACATATCATAC